TATAAAATCTATAAATATCAATACAATTTTATTCATTGGGTCAAAAAACTCTAAATTTTTATACAAGACCCCTCATAAGTTCATATAATAGAAATTGAAGAATATTAAAAATTCATAGGCATTTTTTTATATAACCGTTCTAAGTTCAAATTTTGACAGAATTTATTAAATTGAAAATATACAAATTATATTTAGTTAAAATATTTTAGTATGACCAACAATCTCCACTCAGAATCATGTTTCGTATACAATGATTATATCAATGAATTTAAATTCMATAACATACATTACAGTGACTCACTTGTAAATTGTAATCTACAGCAGATCGATATCCACTTACCCGCTTCTTTTAACACATAGGTCATGGCCATGGTATATCACTCTCACCCCATTCTCTTTCCAATTGATAATCTCTGAGCAAATATCTACTRCATTATTGTCATTTGCCATTTAACACTTATTTAGGTGAGTGGTTTCTAAAATGTTATACAAATTTAAATATTAGTGAAACATAAAAGTACGAACCACGCATTTATATAAATCTTGATCGTTTATGAATAAAAAGATTTCTAATAGTTTGTTAATTGTTTCTAATAAAACGATTTATAATTCTCACAATTTTCTTATTCCTTTTTCAACATATTTAATAACTGTACCTTAATATCTCACATTAATCGAGTGTTATGGGTTTCAATACTCAATTTATAGATAGATTAATTAAACAATATTGTAATAAATATTTTCGATTATTCAATTATAGATAAATAAAAATAATTTGATCCATAAATATTATAAATTATAAAATAAAATAAAATAAATTTAAATTATCTAAAAGAGAACTAATAATATAATTTTTGTTAAATTATATAATTATATCACATATATTTTACTTTTCTAGAAAAAATAATGCCCAAGTAAAAATTTATACTTACCTGCTTTGAATTGCTTAAATTAACCTCTACAATTATTATACAATTATAGCTTTTAGATTGTAATTATGAGTTTGTTGTAGGTTCATATTTTTCTATTTTCATCAAGGTCTACAATTCTCTCTTCRGAGTTAAACGAACTTAAAATGTCAAATGCAGCTTAGAAATGCATTAGGGACTAAATTTAAGTAATTTTTATMACAGTAACAAAATGTGAGCTCCATTAAAAATTACAATATATGAATAGGGTTAAATGCAAATCATTGTCACGTGGATATTTTTTGCTATTTTTTTTATTTTTACAATCTATTCATAAGTTATATTAATAACTAAATTCTATAAGTCGTATTCTACTCCAAAAACCTTAATTGGATTCTAAATAATAGAAAAATGTCTGTAAGACACTTAAAGTTTTAAGGATTTTTACGATTGTTCAATTCGATTGAATACAAATTTAAATGATTAAAACGTATGTAGTGAAACAATTATTATTAATAGGTATGCGTAGTTATCACACCAATTTTTGCAAAATAAAAACTTTTTTTAGGTGGTATAGGTCAGAGCTCTGTACAAAAATATTATATTTTAATACATCGAAAGATATTCTTAATAACTTTAATTAAAAATAAAAATAATAATTATTTATTAAATAGTTGGGAACTGAATAAATTATTGAATTAATATAATTATATCTAGTAACTTAATAATCATTACATTGATAATAGTTAGTTAATGTTAATAATTTTAAAGATATGAGTTCAAAGTTTTCATTGTGTTGTAGATTTGAATGTTACGTATATTCACTATTTATATTATTACTTGGTACCATATAATTCCAGTTTTCTGGTATATTAACATAKGCTTAATGTATACTTTTATTTATAGTTACATTTTATTACGAAGTTTATATTTTTCAATTCCATTACATAAAGCATTAATTTAAAAAAATCAAAAAAATTTTATAATCATATTATATAATTAAATTTCAAAAGAATAGTTTATGAGTTTTTTTAAATTTGTACTAAAGATAATAATCTTTAAAAATAGTTTAACAAAAATATAAAATGTACCTATGTTTTATTTAGTCTAGTAATTACTAATTAGTACACATAAATCATTTGTGCAAATTATAATAAAATTTTAGAAGATAAGCATAAATTACTATGATTTTCATATTATCACATCCCCCGATCCTCATACCTTATGATTTATGAACTTGTTTCTGTGAACTTGTGACTATCAATAAATTATCATTTATCCATAATAGGTACATAAGGTTAAATAACACAAAATATTAGTACACATTTATATGTAGATTTATCAAAGTATTTGAAAAAAAAAAATCATATGATCAATAATTTACAGAAATGAGGTGATTTCTAGTTTGGAAAAAAAGTTGTTTATACCACAGGATATACACACCGCCTTTAATAGTACAAAAATATCTTATACCTAGTATTTGAAATTGAAATTGAAATTTTTTATATTTCACAAGTTATTGCAGTAACATGTTCTCCATTAGTTTACTTCTAAATTACTAAATTTAAAATTTTAATAAATATTAATTACATGTCTACATCACATACCTTAGCTTTTTGTAAAAATAAATATTTGCAGATTGTCTATAACTATATTTTATAATACGTATACACTATACATATAATAAAACCAGAGGAGTGACTATATTCGTTACATTATATTTMAAGTCAATGTCTCAGTGTCTATGCGAACTTTTTTGTCTGAAAGACAAGACAATTCCAGTTATACCATACTACCCATTTACATGTTTTATTTCCTCAGTACCTACCATGAGGGTTACCCAGTTGCCTATACACATAACATAATTTCATGGCAAATTTATTCTTTTGAAAATTTTAACTTAACTTCAATAAAAATATTTTTTCATAATTATGTAATTAAACCTATTTTATTATACCTATTTAAATTTTGAATACAAAGTTAATTTAGTCATAAYATTATTGAAAAATTTAACTTGTTAGGAATTAGTCAAAATAAATAAAGGGTAGGTCAGCATCGCGGTGTAGGAAGTTTGTCCATCGTCCCTTCGGTCCTCRAACAGGATAGTGTAATCTTACAGTATTCGATTTGAATGCAATGATTGCATTCGATAAAAAAAACGATTCCGAGCGGACGAAAGAATATATTCTTTATTTTATTTGATATTTAAATATTATTCATTTCTATGGTGATAAACAAAGCGTTTTTTGCAAAGCAAAATTGAAATCCCGTTCTTTCGTAATTTTTCGGTGGTTTTTTACCGTGACGTTAAATAACTATTGAGAGAATCGAAAAATTACCTTCCTAAAGTACCACCTGAATCCAATTTACTAAAAAAAAGATACTATATAATATGTGGAAATCGAAGCATTCCTTCTGGTAGACATTTTTTTAACAGTATAAAAAAAACATTATTGTAATACCAAAATTAAGTCAAAATGTTGAAAAGTTTTGAAGATATTATATAAACAAATGAGCGATAGGTTTAGTTTTGATAAAAAAGTTAATTGCCTATAACTTAAAAAAAAAAATTAGACCATTGCAATTATTTAAGGGGTATTTTTTCATCATTTTTAGTATACTTTCATATGACGTTGGCCAGTCACTTCCCCTTGGAGGCCTGGAACACATTGTATTTACTTGTATACCTATGCCTATATAATATGCCTATATAGTATATCTAATATAGGTATCTACATTATGGTACATTGGTACAACATATTAAAGAAAAAGACTTATATATTTTTTGGGAGAGCACATTTTAAACTTGGGGGTGCACAAGTCCCCTGTGCACCCCCTTAGTTGCGCCAATGATGAACTCACAGGACTTGACAAATTGTATTAATTACCGCTTCTATCAGAACATTAAAGATAAAGGTACCTTTCTAATATTATATAATCTATCCATTATAATATTATTTCACGTTGTCGCTGTACCTTGTTATATATATCTAATCGATGTGACAGACAGACTGGCATCGTGCTCTGAATMGTTTTTATCGTAGGTAATCAATAATTTATCATTGAATCCAAAATTAACGTTATTTGTGGGAACATAAAAATTGTACGTAGGCAATAGATACCTATATTAAACATTTTTAAATTTTTTTCACGCAATGACATATTAACACCAATATTTAGATTAATTTGCAAAATCTCATTTGGGGTTATTTATTCGGGGTTCTTTTTTTCGGGGTCTAAATTTCCGGGGTTATTTTTTCGCGGTACTGGTCAAACGGATGGGGATGTGAATGGATAGATCCTCCATGACCTTTTTTCAATGTTTTAGAGCTGATAACCATGAATTATATTTTTAATAATCAAATGGTGCATATCTATATATATTCTTCAGATCAGCTATATCCCCTCTTACTAATAAAAAAATTAATTACTATACCTAGGCACTAGGCAGTAGGCAATATCAATATACAATTGATTCATATCATTAAACTCTACCGATTGCCGATAACGACCAATTTTAGTATAGCTTTTTACTTAGCTTAGAGCTAGGTAATTTATACTTTCGGCTGTCTGATTATCTGGATAACACCAGTCGACAACAAAGAACTTGATAAAACTAAAGTTTCACCTACATTCAATTAAAGTTCAAATAGTAGGTAGATATTAGGTAGGTAGTCTAAAAGTATCTTCATTCAATGCCATTATTACTAATTTATCATGATGCAATTCGTCAAAGCATCATCGACTAATAAATATTATACAAATCAAAATTTTAAATTTCATTTAATTTTTCACTCACGGTTGTCATTGATCATTATACATATTTTAAAAGCAATGGTAGAGTCACTGACAACAAATTGGAAGACAGTTTGAAGTTTTGAACCGCATTCTCTGGGTAAAAATTAAAAATAGATATTTCTATTAAATTACATTTAGAACCATTTTGATAATAATCTAAATTCTAACCTAATAAAAATTATTTCATCACAAAATGCATGTTCAATGTTCACGCTTACTGTATTACTGGAGGACCGTCGTCGCAGTAATTTATATAGAAACATTAGAAACGTTTAGTGGCCTATTCACAGCGCTGAGTAATCGTAGTTATACGATTGCAACGGCCCATYGAATGATAAATAAATTTCGTTCAATATTATTATTAATTTTTTTTTCTACCGGACGGTCAACGWGTAAAACTACTGTGGTAACCGTTGGTATTGACACTATTGACTATTGGTGACAACTGACAATACGTATGCATTCAACGATATTCTGAACAACGATCATACAATGACAATGAAACCATGCGTAACAGTGCACGCACGACGCACGATCACGCCTGTCGGTTGTCGGAGTGTCTGCAGCAGCTGACTCTGCTGTTGCACAGTTGCAGTTGCCAGTTGTTCTCGTTCATTGCGCAGTGCGTCACAGAAACAATCGCCACCCAATAAGGCATAAGCACAGCACGACGTAAATAGTGTTATCTACGACTTGGGTTTCAGACCGTGATTTACGACTGATATGTGATATCTAAGATCTAACACCACTTGAAAACKGTTTTTAGTTTTTATACAATAATTAATATCAATATCATAATATTATTATAGATATAAACATTAAAATAGTAAAGACGTTGTTACAACACAAAAGCAATATTTATAATAATACGAATATAAACGCACACTATTCTATTGTCCGAATAGGCGAATAATTTATCATATGAATTAGGGATTTTTGTAGGGGCACAGAATAGATGGTAGGGAACTCCGACCATGATGAACAGTCGCACGTTTTCGTTCTCTCTCGAATTCTCGATATTAAAATAACTGACAACACTTGTATAAATAGTAGTAAGTTGTAAATATAATATAATAAATAATAATAATAGTAATAATAATAATAAAATCCAATCGGAACAGATTAGATTAGTCGGTTAAACCGTTGTTATTCGAGGACGTATTTTTGGTGGTAGTCGACATCTATAACATAATATTCATTATTCATTCATCATTAACGTTTCCCCGTCACAGTCACACTTGTCCTTCGTTACGAATCGGCGTTTGGTATTGTAAGGTAAGTGTCTTATAATAAATACTTTTAATACTATTGTGCATTATTGCAATTCGGTGCTTTAATTAGTATTATGGTCGAATTATTTTGTTGAATAGCAAACCCCTTGGGTGTTTACATTGAAAATATTCTTGTAAGCGATTTAACGTTTTGATTCTTATATTTGTTGCAGACGAGCTATATGCAATGTCGCTGTTCATTGTTGTTATGTTAAGACCGTAAATKTTAATACTACAGACATCATAATATAGCAGAGCTACTGTGTTCAAAACGTAACCATGAGTTCTCTATACTCAACACCTGTAAGCTATATTACTTATCACTCTTATTGATGTAAAAATTAACCAAAGCTATTCTCTCTAGATTGGCTTAATCTTTGTTTTTAACCTGATTATTGGTCCGGGTTCACTAACTTTGCCAGCTGTGGTTCAAGAAACTGGATGGCTTTTGAGTGGTATATTTATTGCCACTATGGCTTTTTTAAGGTAATTTATTGGTCAATTATTGTAATGCTTACAACTGATTGAATAATATATTAACATCTATTTATTTTTCAGTTACATTACATTCTCATTTGTTATAGAAGCAATCACGATTACAAACTCTATAACACAACTTCGTAAATTACAAATGATGAAAAGTGTTACTAGRGTATTGAAATCGGTAAGTTAAATATTTTGAGCAATAATTTATATTTTTATTATGACTACCATCAAAATTAGATATAATCGAAGACTCTTGTTTAATTCCTGAGCTATATCATTATAAAAATTCTATGTTTTATAATATTTTTTTTTTTTCAGTGCAAGGATATGATGCCTCAAGTTTCATCAGTTAACTATGATAGACTTTCGAATGCTAGCACGGATAGTTATAACAGTGACAATGAAACGCCAATTTTTGACAATCCAGTATTACCTACATCTAGTATGCAATATACTTAATACAATTTTATTTATTAATTTATAATCATACATTACTTAGTAGGTATAATATTTTAAAATGATAGACATTTAATCAATCAAATTGGACACTATTATATTAAGCATAATTTGTTAACCATACTACTAATTTTTATAATTTATTTAAATCATTTATCAGGAATTTAACAAAAATACAAAATCAACATTAATTTTTAAAAATGTACAAAAAATAACAAGTGTTTTGTATTACTTATTTAAGTATGGAAATTATTAATATCATTCAATTTTTACCATATAGAAACAGTATTAACTWTTTTTATTGTATTATGATGAATGTAAATTWAAAAAAATATACAATTTATTCATTCTAATGAATTATAAAGTATAAACAATGATTTCAACTTAATTTTTGTTTTCTCTCTTTGACCCACACGAAACATATCAAATTGGAGGATATCAACATAGCTATTTTTAAAGAAGATCCAACCCCCGTGTTTTCAGTTTAAATATTTAAGTGAATTGATTAATTATATCACTTAACAAAATATTATCTGCATTAATTGTAAATTGAGTTCTTACAATATAAAAATTTTTATATCTTGAGGATTCCTGAATTTCCAAATTCTATTCATAATTTGTACAAAGTTTTAAATGTTGTGAAAATCCCTRCAAAATATACAAACAACAATAATTATTTCAATTTAAGTTTTATAATGAGTGTTTACTCTAATATTAAAGCTAACAGTAAAAGATTTGATTCTTCTGAATACAAATTTGGTGCTGCATGTGGGTCAAAGATAGAAAATGACAGTTTACTGTCTCCTCTTAATGTTATAATTATTTTTTAACGTCTATACTTTATTCCTATTAGTCTTATCTATCTCTTATCAGGATTCTTCTTTTAAATAAATAATTTACTATTTCTTTTTTAGGTTCTTTAATGGACTTTCCTCCGGAATCCGTTGAATTACTTTCTCTTGATAATAGGATAGAAATGGTAAAATATTTAATATTTAAATAATGTTTATGTACATCACTAAAAAGTTAAATAATTAATTCTTTCAGGGTGAAATGGTAGCAGTATTACTGCCTCCATTTGCTAAAGTGATGTTTTTTTTTTCCATTAGTGGCTATTTATTTGGTGATTTATCTATTTACTATAAAGCAATTGGGCAATCACTTGTAGACTTTACCTGGTAAATTGTACATTTATTAATTAAAATAATTGTTCAATATTATATTGAATTTATTAAAACTATTTAGTGATCTCAAAACAAATGATAGTTCTGCTAACAAATCAGATTTGTGTTGGGAAAGTTCTTCTTATACTAAACATGAAATTTATTTGAGCTACTTGGTATGTATACAATTGTTTAGTAATAACCTTGTTAAAATATTTRGTATTAATATTACATTAATTTTTTAAAACAGATGCTGTATATCTTAATAATAGGACCATTCACGTTTTTTAGTGCCCAAAAGACTAAATACTTGCAAGTTGTAGGTTTTTTCATGCGTGTCATTGGTAAGTTTTAATTTTATAAGCACAGTATATATTTTTACTCATTCAGTTTTTAATCTAACAAATTTAATTTGACTAATTTATAACAACCAATTTTATTTTATTTTTAGCTATTATTGCAATGGTTGTTCTAGCAACAATACGATTGATTTCCTCAACYCAAAATCATGGGTATACACCAGCAGCAAACTTTATTGCTATGCCACAACTAATAGGTGCTTCAATTTATGCGTTTATGTGTCATCATTCTATCCCATCTGTGATTTCACCTATCAAAAACAAAAACAAAATACTGCTAAAAGTAGCAGCTAACTTCTTGTTAGTATACACATTGTACATGTGTTTATGTATGACGGGTGTTTTTGCATTCCCAAAAGTTAATGAATTGTATACCATCAATTTCACACCATCACAAGATACTGGACTATTTTATAAACTAATTGATTCAATATTGGTTCTTTTCCCTGTACTTACAATCAGTATTAGTTTTCCAGTTATTGCAATTACATTAAGAAATAATATTCAAGTAAGCACAATGTTTATTTATTTTCATTACTATAAATTGAATTAAACTGAAATGTTTAAGGGTGTTCAAGCAARTGCATTTTTAAAAYTATTACATGTCTTACTGGAAAAAATCTTGACCTGTCGAATAGTTGGATTTTTTTTTAATTTAAAGGAAGATGGATTTTTTCAAAGGGTTATTTTCAAAATTTTAACCATAAAAATTAAAATATGTATTTGAAAAATGTAAAATATTTTTATTTTTCTTGCACTATTTAAATTAAATTGAGAATTTGGGCTTTGATCCAACCTGTAAAATATTGTGATGAAAATTTACTAGGTGTGAGATTTTTGTGATGTCTTATGTTGATATAATACTCCACATAAACCAACCTAACCCCTTAAATAGATATCAAGCAATAGATAAGCAAAAAGTATTACAATGAAGGTAGCAACTAAGATATAATTTTCAAATTGTATGGTATTGTGAAAAATTTGCTAAACTATACCGACGAGGTCAACAATTATGTTATATATCCTATTTCTTTGATATCAATTATACAAAAAAAATTCTTATTGTTTCAAAATCAATTATTTTTGTGTTTTTCAAACTTAAATAACTTTTTTATCGTTCTGATATCAAAAAATAAAAACCATATTTCACAGCCAAAATTTTCTTTTTTACATGGTGGCAATTTTGTTATTGGATTATGTAATTTTTGTTATATYTTTAGCCTTCTTGATTCTTTCCCGCTCAAAACTATCTTAACTTTATTTATTTACATTTGTTAGACAAAGACAAATCATGTGGGTATACCATCCTCTTAAGTTATGTATACTATGGTTTTGTTGTAGGTGATGTTTCTTCCAACTGATGCTCATTGGATCTGGAAGCGAGTAGTTATACCACTATTCTCCTTAATTACACCTGTGCTACTAGCCGCATTTGTGACACGTCTTGAAGATTTAGTAAGTGACTAACTTATTAATTATTTTTAAACATAAGAATTACATTATCTTCAGCGTTAATACAATATTTGAAATGTGTTAATCGTTTAGAAGAAATTATAATTTTTACTCTAAATTGACAAACAAAAAAGTATATCTTTGGTAAATAATAGACATTCAATATTTATGAGATAGATTCAAGTATTAAAATATTTAGTAATAAAAATCAAGAATAATTAAATTTGTTCTATGCACTATACTTAGCAATTTTAGTTTTAAAGTACAATCATATTCATAATATAACCACATTTACTAATTTATATTTACAGATTTTTTATTATTTTATTAAGATATGTTTAAATTTAAATTAGTTATAAAACATGATTTTTTGATTTTTTTTTTGTAAGAGGAGGATTTTATATTCTTTTTGTTTATTAACTTATATCAGAAGGATTATGGATGCCCCAATCTACCCAGACTTGTAAAATAGTATAAACAAAGATTATTTCATGTATAAAGTGTTTAGCACATAAAATTACTAATCAAGTACATATTGTCAGAAAAAAAATTGTTTACCTATAGTTAGATTATTATTCATTACTTTGGTTAAAATGATTAGTTTAATATAAAAAATTATTATGATTACTTATAACAAAAGCAGTGAGACTGTGTATCATTTTTAATTATAATCTGAAAATTTACAGGTTTCGGTTGTCGCTGTTTATGCTGGTACTGGTATCCAGTATGCGACCCCTGCATTATTGGTCATGGCTGCGCGTGCTGAAATTCCACAACAGGTGGCTGCAATTAAAAATGATTATTGCTCGCCATTTAAATCTAAATACTGGCCATTGTGCATTCTGATATGGACAGTGATATGTGTGATAGTCTTGACTATTTCCTTGATAAGTAAAGAATTCCAATGAAAGGTGAACTCACACTTATTTTAACTTGTCACTTTATATTTTGTTTGTTTACCAATCTAACTTTTATCATATAAGTGCTACATACATACCTTTTATTAAAAAATTTTATTTAAGAGATATTAAGACTATGATTTTTTATGTCACGTGAAGTGTATACATAATATTTAACATAGTATAGGTGTTATTATTAAAAATATATATTTTTTCTCAATTACATTTTATACAAAAAAAGAATCATAATAATTTAATTTAAAAAAATTAGTTGAATATAACTCATAAATAATAAATATTATTTTATATAATAATATATTGATATGTTTTTACTATTTAACTTAAAAATGTATAACACATGCTATTGCAAGATTTAATATTTATTAAATAAATTGTTGTAGTTTTTTATTCATTATGATTGCATAGTTTGTTTTGTTCCTAAGAATGATATTGTGATGAATTCTTGAAACACATACATATACATACAATTATTGTAAGGCAAAATAAATTTTGTTGAATTTAATAATTATTGTTTTTTCTTTTACTTACTATTTTTTTGTATTTATTCTATTCTCAGTTCACAAACCTTGGAGACAACCTTTTTTTGTTGGGTAGCAGTCAGGTAACACCCCTCTGTCATTCCCACCAAGTCAGCTTTCTGTATATCTACCATATAGTAGAATGTAGATGATTGGACACTGAGGTTCTATAACAGTGCTTGACCGCCCACCTCATTGATTGGTAACTGGTGGGTAAAATTCACAATGTTATTTAATTTTCTATTTTTTGATAATTAATTGGGCTGATCAAAACTTGCAACCCCTTTAAAAACTAAAATGGTTCCATTGTGCCACCTTTTACAAGTGTATGATAAAATGTTTKWMAAACATTTTAACAAAAGCCTCTTTAAATGACAGAAAAAAAAACAGATTGATAAGGAAGTACTTAGTACTAGTTTTTCCATATTAACTTAATTTATCGGGTTAAATTTATAATTTATTAACTTTTAATTTATGTGTCCTATTAACTTGATTTGAGTTAATTATTTTCATTAACTGGTAAACCTTTACAATTTTGTATGCATTTACAATCATAGTTCCTACTCTGGTTTGATTCCATGTTTCATGAAATTGATCAAAAACAGCATTATTTACTAATACCATAATATCRTAATTTTTTTTATATTAAATTTCAAACTATTCAATAAAACCTAACACTTTAAAATGATTTAGAAATAGGTTATTATTATATTTTAAACATGTGGGAAAACATTTTTAAATAATTTACTTAGCTGTTTGTATAATTGTTTCAATCAGTTATCAACCATATTTATGTCAAATGTAATCGAAATTGGAAGATTGTTAAAAACTAATAAGACGTAGGTACCTACATGCAGTATAATTGTCGACTCACTGATGAGAAGTCTAAATAGTGGGAATATTATAAAAATCTTTTAGAACTATAGTATATTGTTGATAAAAAAATGTTATTTGTTAGTCTGTAACTGTCATTATTACAGTAATAATAAAAATAACAAATAAAAAAAATATGACATTAAAATGATATAGATAAAATTGTTTAAGACAATAAAACATTAATACAATGAGTTAGAATATACATAGGTATATAAACCTATATAATAATTATAATTGTCAGCTGTCATTATTAAACAGACAACGATATTATTATAGGTATTAATGAATGATCAATAAATCTGAAAATGGTAAATATTATAGGTTAGAGTTAGACAGCTGTAACTCTGATGAAACGCAAAAAACAGTAGTTAATGATTCTGCAAATTGCATACWAAATAGTAAATTACTAACACGATATTCCGCATATTTTATGCAACGTTGCCATTAGGTACATATTTTSTTTACTYTCGTTATAATTTATAATAATTTTTATAAATGTATTGTATATAGCTAATAAAAATAAACTGAAAGTCATGAGAACCAGTGTCTCGAGTATTATATTAATTATATCATACAAAATTAATAATTTTTTGTATATGCATATAAATATTTCAATTAATGCATTATGATTGAGTCGAATACAGCTGGTTTAGTATATTCAAGATTTTATTTATTATYGTTATGTGTTTTTAATAAACATAAAATAGAATATAAAATTCAATTTACGAATATTTGACAAATGATAATGCTGTCGTATAAAAAACACGGTGTATCAGTATCAAATTGATGTTGATAAAATTCTTTTATAATTCCACCTCTGGAAATCATAAGAAAAATGAAAATAAACCATAAATCCAAATCAGATTATCAATTACGATAAGTCAAACGATGTGTAAATTTAAAATAAAAGGTTGAGGATATATAATTCTGCAGATATACAGTACCTATTAATAAATAGGTATAGTGACCATTTCTTCGATCACCAAACCCCCGGAGAGGGAGACGTTGGAATGGATAATGTAGACTGTACTAGACCTAGGCAAACATGACGAGTAATCTAACTTGCGACTAAACGTATAGTTAGACAAATAGTAACACAACAGTCATAATAGAAAATATGGACTTCGATAAATATGAGCATATTAATTTGTTGAACATTTTTTCCAAAACAGCAGTCATTTGTTGCAATGAAACTATACAAACATCGGAAATTTTCAATACTATTATAAATTTTGACCCTTCCCKAATGACGGTCTTGCACCTAATGGAAATACATGTCGTATTTTAAACGGTTACTTGTGATTTAGGTACGACAAATGATAATCATATAATAATATAATAATAATAATTGAAATCCACAGTAATGTATAATATTTTTCATAAATGTGTTAAAATTACGTTTACCTTTACTGTCATTTGATGTATAGTAGCTGAATAGTTAAATTAGCGCAAATTATACCGTGTTAGGTGGTTAGACCATGTGACTGGATAGGTTACTGTTATAGTGTTATAGCTGCAGGCTATACCGTAACAAGGTAGTGTTATTAATAGAATACAGTAATAATGTACATAAAACGGAATTTATAAAATAGTTCACTTCTTTTACAAATACACATTTATTTTTCTTTATTACAGCCTAGTATAATGTTATTGTCTGATGACTGAAAACATACATAATATATTAATATGCAATKTGTTTCTTCCTTATACATTAAAATTAAAAACAATATGATAAYATCTGTACCCACAGATAAGTAATCGGTTGTATACAATATAATAATATATACTTAAATAATAATATGTAGTATGTGTTATATGGTATTAAAACGATTGACTTCTACAAAATA